TTTTTCTACACTATTATGTTTAAAGCAAAAGATATTATCACTAGGGCAAACTTCTCATACCATTTCTTAGGTGCTTGCTTCAAACCGTACAATGATTTTACTAACTTGCACACCTTTTGTTCATTTTCAAGTAAAACAAACCCTTTAGGTTGTTCCATATAGACCTCCTCATCGAGATCCACATTCAAGAATACCGTCTTAACATCCATTTGATGAACATCCAAGTCATATATCGAAGCTAGAGTGAATAATATCCTAACAGATGTTATTCTATCTACCGGTGCATATGTGTCAATAATCGATTCCTTCCTTTTGTCTATAACCTTTGGCTACTAATCTAGCCTTAAAGGTATTAAGATAACCATCAGTATTATACTTTCTCCTAAACACCCATTTGCAACCTGTAGGTTTAGATCCGACTGGCAAATCGACAAGTTCCCATGTATTATTTGACATTATCGAATCCATTTCGTCCTTAATGGCATCTTTCCAAATGATGTTTTAACTTCTTTATAAGTTTCGGGGTCAGTTTCCACTTGTAGAACAAAAGGAATTGTTCTTACAGCATTCACACTTTTCCCTCTAGCAAATAAAAGGAAATAAGTTGAGAGTCAATCTCATCCGATCCTAAGGACTTCGCAAATTTGAGTTCTTTTGAATCTTCATGGTCCACTAGATTCATTAACATCTTTAAAAGATGTTTCATCTCGTATTCCACTTGAGCTAGGGACATCATTATCAATTTCCCTCAATTCATTATCCGAAGATAATGAATTCTCAAAGAACTCCACATCATTTGATTCGATAATCACATTGGTTTTTGATTTCAATAACCGGTAAGATTTGCTATTATTAGCATATCCTACAAAGGCACATTTAATGCCTCTTGGACCCAACTTGGTTCGGTTAGGATTTGTTTTCTTACAATAAGTAAGATACCCCCACACTTTGAAATAACCAATGTTTAGTTTTCTTCATTTCCACGATTCGTAAGAAGAGACCTTAGTGTTTTTAGAAGGAATTCTATTTAAAATCCTACATGCACTCAATAGCGCTTCACCGCATAAATTAAATGGCAAATTAGCATACATTAACATAGCATTAATCATATCAACTAAAGTTCTATTTTTTCTTTCAGCTAAACCATTTTGTTCGGGTGTCCTAGATGAAGAACATTGATGTACTATGCCATGTTGTTCACAAAATGAGTTAAAATTACTAGAAAAATATTCACCTCCTCTATCACTTCGTAGAGTTTTTATTTTCTTACTTAGATGATTTTCTACTTCATTTTTATATATCTTAAACATGTCAAAAGCTTCATGTTTATGCTTAATTAAATAAACATATGTATACCTAGATTAGTCATCAATAAAAGTAATAAAATATCTATTACCACCTCTAGTCAATATTCCATTTAATTCACATATATCAGTATGAATTAATTCTAAACTACTAGAAGTCATATTAACACTTTGATATGGCTTCTTAATCATTTTAGATTCAATACATGTCTTACATTTATAAGTATCATTTTCATTATATGAAATCATGTCACATTTTAACAAACGTTTCATAGTACTTTTATCTATGTGACCTAATCTAGCATGCCATAATGAAAATGAATCAATAACAATATAAGCAAAGTCAACTTTATTATTTAAAGACTTGTCAATAGTACAAAGTTTGACCATTCCTTCACTAGAATAGCATTTACCAACAAATTTCTCATTTAGGGATAGTACAAGTTTACCGGATTCATAAACACATTTTATGCCCGATTTTCCTAAGATATCTCCACTAACAAAGTTCCTATTCATATCAGGAACATGTAGTATATTTGTTAAGGCAACCGTCTTGCTGGAAGTGAAGATGATATCCACGTTTCCTTTTCCATACACCTTGGATCTGACCTCGTTACCCATTTGAATCTCTTGTTCTCCATCAATTTTGAAACAAGTCTTGAACAATGACTTATCATATGAAACATGTATAGTTGCACATGTATCATACCACCACTCAGGAACCTTTCCCTTAATTGTGTTTTCCTTCGGTGTTGTTCTTTTTCTGGTATCGACATTCCTTTGCATAATGTCCAAATTTTTCACAAACAAAACAACTACCTTTGGTCTTCTTCTTGGAATTGCTGAAATTCCTTGAAGGCTTTCTCTTGTTGGTTTTAGTACACAGCTCAGATTTCTCCACGGCATTGGCTTTAGATGTGCCTTCATAAGAGTTATCACTCTTATCTCTTACCCTTGATTCCTCTTCGATTCGAAGATGTTTTTGCAATTGTTTCAAAGAGTAATCTTCGGAACTATGCATGATTTTCTTCCGGTATCCTTTCCAAGTTTCGGGAAGTTTAGCAATTATAGCCCCCACTTGGAAAGTTTCCGGAATATCAATACAATCTTTACCGCTTTCAACTTGTTCACAAGTACTTGCAATTCATGGATTTGGGGAAGTAAAGGAATATTTCCAAGAAACTTGAAATTAGAAATTTCTTTGTACCCTCTTCTTCGACTTTGTATTTATTCTCCAATGCGTTCCAAATTTCCTTTGCCGATGAACTGTTGGTGCAGAGATCATATAACCTGTCCGATAGAGCATTTAGAATGTGACCGCGACATATAAGTTCATCTTCTTGGCCTTTTTGTCTTTCAACCCTTACTGCATGTGTTTCTCCATTTGTAGGTTCCGGTGATGGTGCCAATTCCGGATTCAATATGTAGAAGATCTTCAAGGTTGTAAGTAGAAACTTCACTTTGTCTTGCCACCTTGTGAAATTTGTTCCATCGAAGCGATCCAACCTTACAAGGTCTTGATTCATTAACTTGATAGTAGCCATCGTGCTTTGCTTTCGTTCTCCATTTACAATTATTGTTTGAGATTGTTGGACACACCACCGTGTTGGAGAAGAAACTTACCAAAATATGCAGCAACAAATCACAACCTTGAAACCAAGAAATTAAACTTGAAGAATTCCACCAAAGACTTGATCACAATACCGTTGTCCTCAAAAAATATTTGCCCCCTTTAGGATTGATTTAATGCTTGAAGGGATGATGGCAAATGGTTTGAAGAATTTAAACAAGTCTTGTAAGGATTAATACTCAAGCAATTAAATATAATCCTTGAAAACTCAAGAACACGAAGAAAAATTATGAATATGAATGAAAGAAAGAGTTTTAATCTTTGATTTGGAATGTAAATGAACTTCACTTGTTTTTCATGTGCAATCCATGAACACCAATGTCTTTTATATAGGCCAAGTCTAGATGCACGAAATATTGCCAAAAAACATGTGAAAAGACAACAAGTTTGAAAACACCAACGGTCAAAAACGACCAAAAAGGCCAGAATTTTGTACTCCTTTTACCATTTCGTCTTCCTTCGACATTCCATATTCATTTTATTAATATTGAACAATATATATAACAATTATTTATCCCAAAACCTTATTAAAGAATCACGAATCATTGTTTTGGATTTTTTGGTTTCTTGCACCATGTATTGGCCATTGCAACATTCAACCTTCCGCATTTTCTTCAAGCATTTATGAAATTTTAAAATTTTCACTGTCTTTAGGAAATTCAATGTGGACAAAAATACAAAAAGGATAATTAGTGCAAAATTATGAAATAGAAAATTTTGAAGATAGTCAATTTTACTAGTCAAAAACAAACAGTAAGGCTCTGTTTGATGTGCAAGTTTTTCTAGGGAAAGTGGAAAACATTTTCACACTTTCCAACTTTTGCCTGTTTGATGTGCAGGATTTACCATGGAATTGGCTTTTCCATCTTCAACCTCACGCGCCTCTTTTCCATGAATTCAAGAAATTTGTTTTCTCTTGCTTTGGTTGGTTTTTTGTTTTCCAACTTTTTTTTTAGAATTTTTTTTTTTGGNNTTTTTTTTTTTTTTTTTTTTTTACAATAGCAAAAAATTATAGACACGATGATAAAAAAAAATGTATCACTTTTATTGACAATTTTCATACAAAACAAAGTCAAACGAATGATATTCGGTATAGTAATTTTTTAATTTTTTTTAAAATTTAAGATTTTAAATTTTTTAGCAATTGGAACAAATTTAAACCCAATAGTAGAATAAATTATCACTTTAATGGACAATTTTCATAAAAAACAAAGCCAAACGGATACCAAACTCTCAACATTTTCCAGGTGGAAAATTATACCAATCAAACACAATTAATTACAATTCACAGTAAAACAATTTATAAGCAATTCAATTCCCTGTAAAACATTTTCTTTCCACCCATTTTCCACCTTCGCAATCAAACGGACCCTAATAGTCCCTTTCAGTTTTGAATTCCGATGCACATTTTTTCATAAGTTTGAAAGGAAATTCTTGGGCCTAAGCCTTGACAAGTTTTGTTCAAAAATCATTAAATCGAGTTACAATTGGGGGTGTGTTGATAGGTGATAATAGTTGGTTAAGTACGTCATCAAAAATCATGGAAGTGGAATAACTCATGTGCTCAATGAACGTCAAGAGAGTGCTCGAGTACATTTTTCAAAACTTGTGCTCGGAGGGTGCTCGGGCGGGAGCATCCCTAATTTTTTTATTTCAATTTCTAGACACTCCTAAACCACTTAGAATTGTGAAATATAGTTTGTGTACAATTGAAATTCATTTGTTTCATGGTGTGTTAATAGAAAAGAAAAGGAAAAAAATATCTAAGATTTTTTAAGAAACAATTTGTTATCAAAATTCTCTTCTATATTCAAAATATCTTAGTTCATTTTCTCTCAGATTTTGCTAATTTATTCTATTTTGTTTTATCACAAACAATCTCATGTTACAATATGGATACAATGTATGAAACCCAAAATCCTAAGAAAGCAAAAAACGAAAGAAGAAAAATCAAAATCAAACTTTTGTACTCTACAATATGAAATAGAAAATGTAAATACAATCCATCAAGGTATAATGCAATCATCAAAACAAACCTATCAAGTATGAAATTAATATGATAGAATTCACCTACCCTGTAAAATGGAACTGGAGCTACAGTCTGCAATGGAGGAAGACAATCCTAGTCTGATCTCTTCGATTGTTGGGACGGAACTAGAATCTGTGCTGAAAGTCCGGGGATAAATGGACCAAACTCCTTTAGATGTCATCTTTTCTAGGAGGTTCACATCCATATCCTCGACTTCGGATTCATCTAACGTGGTCTTCCTTTCAAACAATTTCATTACTTGTCTCATTGTTGGCCTAGTGTTAGGGTCTGGGTGCGCGCATAGCAAGCCTAAATGAAGCACTCTTTCAACTTCCTCTTCATTGAACCCTCCTTTAGCATGCAATCGTGCATCAAGGGCATTGTTCAATTCTCCTCTCCCCATAAGCTCCCATAACCAATTTAACAAAGGTGGTTTGCCTTCTTCAACCGGTCGTCTCCCACACATGACCTCCAAAACCAAAACTCCGTATGCAAACACGTCGGTTTTTGTTGATGTTCGACCACTCTTCATCACTTCCGGTGACAAATACCCAACTGTACCCACCACTCTCGTGGTGCGAGCTGCCTTGTCATGGTCATGCATTCGTGCTAACCCGAAATCACCTAGCCTTGCGTTCATTTCATCATCAAGTAACACATTGCTCGCTTTAATGTCCCTATGTAACACTTTGGCTTCCCATCCGTCGTGCAAATACAGTACACCACAAGCCACTTGCTTCAAAATTCTTATTCTTTCTTCCCAACTCAAAATCTTGCTCTCATCACATTCAAACACCCTTTTGTCCAAACTTCCATTTTCCATGTAATCATATACCAAAATGAGGCTGTCCTTCTCTTTCTTGCACCAACCTCTTAACCCCACCAAATTTCTGTGCTTTAATCTTCCCAAGCTTGAAATTTCAGCCAAGAAACCCCTCGTCCCTTCGTTTTTTTCACACGAAATTCGCTTAACTGCAACCTCTGCTCCTCCTGTCAATATCCCCTTATACACTTTCCCATTCCCTCCAATTCCAATAACATTTTCATCCGAAAAGTTCCTTGTAGCTGCCTCAATTTCTTGAAAACTAATTTTATGTGGCCAATACTCTTGTTCCCAATCTTCCATTTCCTCTTTCTCCCTTTTTATCCTTTCATTCCTTTTGAGCAACAAGAAAACAACTATAGAACATATGATGATCAAAAAGAATAGCCCCGTTGTTATGCCTGCAATAAAACCTCTGGATTTGTAGATTGGAGTTTTACCATGCTCGAAAGATGGCAAATTACTTGTGATCAATCCTTCGTGTAGCGAAAAGTTCTTGTTGCTATAACTCCAAGCTAAAATCTTGTGACTTTCAATTAGAGTACCTGTGGCTGCGGTGAAACCAACATACATTTGATCCTCGAAAACATCAGAAAAATTGCGTGAAACGTTTAACAAGGGCTGCTTAGGCCTTTTCATTCCCACGGGTGCCATTGTAACATTGATATTATTATCAGCATAATCAATCCAAACTTGGTAATTTTTGCCATTATTCAGCTTCAGTTTCTTAAAGGTTTTCTCATCATTCCAGTAGCCCGCCTCGTGCGCCATAATCGATTCGAGCGAGTTCACATCAATTCCGACATGATTGTCGTTGATGTCCTTGAATTCTTCATTCTTAAACACATCAAATTCAACTCCAAAAACATGGTTACTCTGATTCCCGTTATTCGTAAAGTTAAACAGGCCTAAATGCTGAGACGAACTGGAACCCTTGATTCCTGTGTTTGGCACAAACAAGAAAACTATACCATGTCCCGGGAGCCTCTCCTTGTACGGCGCCATAGCGAAAATGAAAGACGTCGAAAAGGGAAGTACCTGGGATGAACTCGGTTGTTTTGTGGCAACCTTTATCGGGAAAAGGGCACGACCAATAGAGAAAGATGTATCATTAGTTAATACAAGAATCCCAGATTCGATTGTGGCATTTCCATAGAGAGATACATCGGAAGAATTGAAGCCATTGTACAAGAATTCAATGGCAGATATGGATTGAACTGTCAAAATTAGGATTAAAAGGCACAGTGAAAGGTGGTGTTTTTGGTGTTTCTTCATTGCTTTTTGTAAGAGGAAAATGACTCCCATGGGAAGTGGGAAATGAAGGGATCCAAGAAAAAGTAACATATTAGCTGACAGATGCTGCTTTAGAGAAATCAATCAAGCTAGGGTGCCAGA